GGCATAGGAAAACTCCCCTCCTCTGTCCGAGTGCAGACGCAAAACAGGAAAGTCCGAGCCGAAACTCTCTCGGAGCTGGAGACGAGCTGCGCGGATCCAGTCGATCAACACCTTAGTGATGTCACCCTTGCTGCGCAAGGAGAAGACTGTGGTGTAACGCGAGTAGTCGTCAACGACCAGCAGAAAGTACCGCTCTCTCCCCTGCCCAGTGACGCGGGCTGGGCCCCACACGTCCATGTGTAGAGTCTGCAGCGGAGCCTCTGTCGGAGGAAACTCGGAGGAGTGAGGGGCGGCACGCTGTCGCCCCTCGACGCAGGGGACGCAGGTAGGGCCAGGTCCCGGAGGAAGGGGAGGGAGAGACCGAGGAAGACCAGAGACAAGGACACGGGAGGCCATGCCTCGGAGACGAGGCAAGGAGGGGTGACCAAGGCGGTGGTGCCAAAGGAGAGTCTGGTGGGACAGCAGACGACACGAGCAGGGGGCAGACTCAGGACCAGACCTGGACGCCGCAGCAAACACCTGACTCGACGCAGCTACCTGGGCAGACTCAACAGTAGGAGGAGACTCAGCAGTAAGGGTGTACAGGCTCAACCCTGGCCGACGGGTGAACGTGGCCAAGTGTCGGCCTGTCCGAGCACACGTGCAGTGGGTCACTCGCTGACTCGCAGGAGTGAAGTGGTCAACCCCTCGATCCTGTAGGTCCGCTCCACTCACCAGGTTCGTAGAGAACGAGGGGAGGTAGAGACCAGACAGGGTGCCAGAGGGGGCTGCCGGGCACAGAAGGACAGTGGAGAAGCTAGCAAGGACAGGACCCCCAGAGGGGTCTACCAGGGAGACTGCAACCGGCCGACTAAGCGGCGTAAGAGTGGTGCGGTCTCGAAAGAAGGAGCGGGACGCACCCGAGTCCGGGGTGAAGGTGTGGAAGGCCTGAGCCGACGTAGTACCTGAGAGAGCAGACTCACCAGCACCTGGGGCGGCAGACGCACTGGCACCTGGGGCAGCACACGCACTAGCACCTAGAGCAGCAGTCTCACCAGCAACTAGCGCAGCAGCCTCAATGCCCGGGTCAGGCGGTACACACAGGTAACAGGCACCCTCAACACTATCAGCAACAGCATACATGGCAGCTAGAATAGCATCAAAGTCAAGATCAAAGATAGCAACCCCGGCCTTAGCCAGATCTCCCCAGCGAGGGATCTCTGACGCCTCAGGGAACTGGCGACGCCACGCGTCCGTTAGGCGACCAAAGCAGCGCTGGGTGGAGTGTGGACCCCCGCACTGCTAACCAGTGCGGTCGCCGGTATGGAGAACGTAAGTGCAGGGACCAAAACCCCCACCGCGCTGGCGTGCAGTGTACCACTCGCGAAGCTGCTGAGGGGACAGGGTCACACCACTCCGCTGCTGCTGCTGGCGCTGACCACCACCGGCGCCACTCCTCGACGCAGAGTCGCGACTCGCTCCACCACCGCCGCCTCCGCCGCCTCCGCCGCCTCCTCCACCTCCGCCTCCTCCACTACCTCCGCCGCCTCCGCTCCCTCCGCCACCTCCACCGCCTCCGCCGCCTCCACTGCTGCCGCCGCCGCCGCCACCCCCAGCAACACTCCCACCACCACCCCCACTCCCTCCACCGCCTCCACCACCACCTCCACCGCCCCCTCCACCTCCTCCAGTGCCCTTGCCCCCCTTGCCCTTGCCGGTGCGGCGTCTCCCGCTTGGGGCAGACGCAGCGCCGACCGACTCGAAACCAACGAGGTCGGCCGCAGCAGCAGAGGCAACAGAGGGCAAGAGGGGGGAGGGAGAACACCCCTCAAAGACGGGGGTGCGAGGGTCACCACGAGAGGCTCCTACAGCGACTATGCTCTTCTCTATCGCTAGGAGGGCCTTCTCGAGGAGGTCAACGGTGAGAGTGGTGGGGCAAACAGAGAGGAAGTGGTCCCTGACTACACGGAGAGAGTCAGGGAGACGGGTGACTATGTAGTAGAGGGTGATGTATATGGGGGGGGGGTTCTTGGCGCAGAACTCAGCAGGAAGCGCAGCGCGGTAGCGAGTGTCACTAGTGCGGAGGTGCGTAATGTGGTCCGCAACAGTGGGAAAGGCAGCAAGGTCAGGGAAGAGGTACGGTAGCATGAGGCGGCTCAGTGCAGTAGTGGCAGGGGAAGAGTAGCGTGCAACTACAGCGTCGTACAAGGTCTGAGCACTCTTGTACTGGCTAAAGTGTGCACGCTCAGTGGTCGGTAAGTGGCGGCGCACAGCAAGGCGAGCAGCAGCGTCACGTGTGGCCCACTGTGAGCGAACAGTGGCGTCAGCATCAGCAGCAGGGGCAGGGAAGGCACCAGAAGTGAGGTCAAACAGGGAGAGGTTGTCTGCCCTATCGCACTGCAGGAAAAGCTGCAAATCATCTACCCAGACCTCAAAGTCCACTGCCCGACCCTCAGCGTCAAAGGTGAGAACCCTAGGGGAAGCCATAACAGCCGGAGGCAGGGCAGTGCAGTGGCAGAGACTGTGCTCTTACCAGGTAGGTGGAGCGATCGGGCTGCTCGACGGCTCGGCTGTCGGGCGACTTGGCTGCAGGGCGGCTCGGCTGCTGGGCGGCTCGGCTGCTGGTGCGGGGCGGCTCGGCTGTCGGGCGGCTCGTCTGCTAGGCGGCTCGGCTGCTGGGCGGCTCGGCTGCACGGTGGTGGGCGGCTCGGCTGTCGGGCGGCTTGGCTGCTGGGCGGCTCGGGAGGTGGGCGAGGTCGCAGGTGGCGGCGGGCCGCAAGGGTGGGCGGGGCCGCGGTGGCGACGGGGCCGAAGTGGGGCCTAAGTGGGGCCGTAGAGGGGCCGACGGGGCCGAAGTGGGGCCGTAGCGGGGCCGCAGCGGGGCCTAAGCGGGGCCGAAGCGGGGCCGTAGCGGGGCCTAAGCGGGGCCGTAGCGGGGCCGTAGCGGGGCCGTAGCGGGGCCGACGGGGTTGACAGGGCCGTAGCGGGGCCATAGCGGGGCCTAAGCGGGGCCGTAGCGGGGCCGTAGCGGGGCCGTAGCGGGGCCTAAGCGGGGCCGACGGGGTCGTAGCAGGGCCGTAGCGGGGCCGTAGCGGGGCCTAAGCGGGGCCGTAGCGGGGACGACGGGGCCTAAGCGGGGCCGTAGCGGGGTCGACGGGGCCGACGGGGCCGTAGTGGGGCCGTAGCAGGGCCTAAGCAGGGCCGACGGGGCCAACGGGGCCGTAGCGGGGCCGTAGCGGGGCCGTAGCGGGGCCTAAGCGGGGCCGACGGGGCCGTAGCGGGGCCGTAGCGGCCTAAGCGAGGCCGTAGAGGGCGGCTCGAGGGGCAGTAAGGGCGGCCAATAGGGGCCACTAAGGCGGCTCGAGGCGCTACTCGGGTTAGGAGCTAAGCGCGCTCCGGGCAGGGAAAAAAAAGTTCGTGGTGGGCCCTAGGCAGTATTCCCACTCGAGAACCTGCTCGATACCATGACGAGAAGTGAGAATGGAATGAATGAACTATGAAACAGTTGGGTACAAGTACTAACCCTAATTGGGTTGTACCCCTTATGGGCTACCCCACTACAGCCTACACAAATGTATAAGCTATAATGTTCTGACAGCGCGGTCAAGATAAACAGACAATAACAAATGCAAAAGTAAATAGTGAGTCAAAACTTTATTTTTCATATTCCGTAAATGTTCTGACAGGTTCGATTTTCGTCCTCTGATTGGCTGAGGAACTGATTCGTGCAATGATTCAGTCAAGATGCAAGATTTCCCGCCAAAAAGGGGACTGTAGAGGAGGGGATACACCTAGGACTTGTGTGAAATTCTACTCGTTGAGGAAAATGGACTCTTTTAGGAAAGGCATCTAAGCCAGAACATCTGTATCTATAATTTGGGAGCTACCCGAGACACCAGCAAACCAGCAATCACATCGCCCAGCAATCACCACCACCAGAGACATGAATTGCTAGCGAACCAGCATTGGACATGTCATAATCCCAACCACTAGACCATTGGGATAAAAGGGCTTTTTTTGTGTAGCGGGTAAGTGCGCCCATAACCCCCCAGGCCAGCGTGCCTGTAACCCTTCCCTAGGATCAATCGGGGATCACCAGTGGACCTCTGACACCCCCCCGTACTGGGATGCCCGAAGTGCACACACCGGGATTCGAACCCGAGACCTTCGCTCTGATACCATGTCAGAATCCCAACCACTAGACCATTGGGATAAAAGGGCTTTTTTTGTGTAGCGGGTAAGTGCGCCCATAACCCCCTAGGCCAGCGTGCCTGTACCCCTTCCCTAGGATCAATCGGGGATCACCAGTGGACCTCTGACAGGACAAACCCTCTTTCATCATCATCATTGCCCACAATCCAAGGACGCCCGTCGCACGCGGTGCGAAAGCGAGCGATACGCAACAGCCTGGATACTGTCGCAAATGCAAGTGTGGTTGAACAATCTCAATCGCAAGTGTATGCTTTCCCTGTCGCAGCCTGGCAACAGTCGCAAATGCGACAAACGTGGAAGGGGACCGAGGCTCACTGTTGCACTGAGCCCTAGCCTCGCCAGTGTATTGCGTGCAACCGGGGCGGAAAGGGAAGGTGGCTGGCTGCTGTGGGTGTTTGCTCCGGTACAGTACGAAATTGATCTGAGGTTTCGATACCGAAAACAGTAAACCATTGTCACGTGTATAACCCTAGGCGCAAGCTTATTGAAATTACTTCACTTAATTCATTATCTCAACAAAAATACACTTGCACGTACGGGGGAAACAAGTGCCACGTGCCAACATTTCCATCGACTTGGCCAACACAAAATTCAGATGAAGCAACAAGACTACGGTAGAGCAGTCACGATTCACCACAATGAGCTATATGCTGGTATTGAACACACACGGAGCAAGGAACAAATAAACGAGTCGTTTATTTGAAGCCTAATCTCTCAAATACTTCACGCGAGTAACTGCTTTCTTTTCCTCCTTCAGGATCCTACGTCACCCGCCTCCCTTTGCTCCTCCCTCTCCTGCGACTTCCCCATTATCTCCATGTGCACTTCCTTTCCCAAAACACTTTTCCTCTTGAGACAAATCCTTCTCTTCTCCTTCCACTATCTCTCCCTCTACTTCCTGATCCCTCATACCCTTTCGTGTACCTGTACCCAATCCCCCCTCTTTCTCTTCCTCCTTTAGCCCCTCCCCAACTCCACCCCCTCCCCCCCCCCCACATCATCCCCCGCGCCGCATCCACCAACCCTTCAAACCCCAGCCACCCTGCCTCTCCCATCCCCTCCTTCCTCTCCTCCCCCGCTCCCTCTCCTGCACCCCACCAGCTTGCACCCAACCCCCACCCTCCTCCCGCACCAAACCCAGCAAAGCCAGCAAACCTACCAGTCCCACCTGCCCCAGTCCCGCCCTCCATCAGCTTCTCGAGGCCGATGGGCGGCACAGAGTGGGAATAAATTGGCAGGCACATCTTGGCTTGCTTCAGGTCCATCACAGGCTTGGGGGTGGAGGGGGGCCGCCAGAATTCCCTCGAGGCAGAATAGACAGCAATCGCCGCCCGGATTGATTTGGTGGGTGACACTGGTGCTGCCACCGCCGCCGCCGCTGCCGACAGCAGGGAGCTCTCACTCTTCACTCGCACGCTCGTTCTTCCTTGCCTCCTCTCCATGCTTCCCTCATCAAATCCCTCGTTGCCAGCCCCATTCCCCTCGCTCCACATCTCGCCCCCCTCATTCTCCAGGCTGTTTCTGCCAACCCGGCCCTCTAGGAGGGCGGTTTCCTGGCGGTGCTCCAGCAGCGCTCGCTCTTGAAAGGAGAGCAGCGAGCGGGAGATGCGGAGGGAACAAGGGAGCGAGCACTTGGTCCAGTGGGGCAGGCCGGGAACAAAGAGCCCGGCAAGGGGGGGCGGAGAGGGGGAGGCGGGGCGGGAGGCATGGGGCACGGAAGAGGTAACACCCATGCTCTCATGCCACCGCCTCAACCGAGACTCAAGCGACTCCTGCCCCTCCTTCCCTCCCTCCCCTTCGTCTGCTGCTTCTTCTGTTGCTGATGTTTCTTCCGCCACTCCTGCTGCTGCCGCTGCTCTAATGCAGAATGGCATGCCCTCAATATCAGGGCAGCTGGAGGTGCGGTGGAACCTTCTAGAAGCACCCATCCGGGATGCTGCTGGTCTCCTTGACATTTGGGGGGCAGCAGAAACGGTTGCTCGGCCTGCTGCTGCTCCGTCCCCTGCTGCTGCTCCTGCTGTTTCTGCGGCAACAGAGGAATAGTTGGTGATTGCAGCTAATGAATCCAGCCATGCCTCTGCCGCCCCTTCTCCTCCTTCAGCTGCTGCATTCGCATCATCACTGCCTGCAGACCAAACATCGAGCCTCTGTGCAGCAGCCGCCCGACGAGTCCACGCCTGAATACCCAGGTTGGAGGAGAGAATGATGGGAACGGGTGAGAATGGGGAGGTGTCAACAGGAGAAGGGGAGGCGTCAACTGGGGAAGGGCAGGGCGGGGTGAGGCAAATGAGGGGGGCTAGATGTGCTGCTGCCGACGCTCTCATTGCCTCATAGCCCCCATGCCCCAACCCCTGCCCTTGATCCACCCGGTGCAACTCCTGCCCTTGTGCCACCCGGTGCAACTCCTGCCCTTGTGCCACCCGGTGCAACTCCTGCCCTTGTGCCACCCGGTGCAACTCCTGCCCTTGTGCCACCCGGTGCAACTCCTGCCCTTGTGCCACCCGGTGCAACTCCTGCCCTTGTGCCACCCGGTGCAACTCCTGCCCTTGTGCCACCCGGTGCAACTCTTGCCCTTGTGCTGCCTTCTGCAACCGCTCTTGCAGCTTCAGTGGCAGGTTCAGCTGTAGCATCGGCTCTTCTCCCTCTTCTTCTTCCTGTCCATGCTCCTGCTGCAGCAGCAACTGCTCTCTCTCAGCAGCAGTACCACCACCAGCAGCACTTTCGGAATCAGCAACAACAGAGGCAGATGGCACTTGCTGGAATCCCTCAGCCACTTCCAGGGCAGCAGCTTTCGCTTGTTGCGGGGCTTTCCGGGGCGTGTTACGCCCCCGCTCAGAAGTTCCCGGGCGGGATGGTGTGTTTGCACGTGCTTGTGACCTGCGAGGGACTCGGGGGCTCTTAGGAGGGAGCCGGGGCACTGGCCTGGGTTGAGCCTCCTCCTGTCCTGCCCGCGCTGCTGCTGCCTCTGCTGCCGCCGCCATTGCTGCTCCTTGCACTTTTGCTGCTGCTCCCTGCGATGCCTGAAATCTTTGCAATTTCTGCGATTCCTGAGATTTCTGTGACTCATCTAAATCAAGAGCGTCTTGCAGCAGCAGATGGAGGTCATTAGAAGATCCGAATGCTTGCTGGATGTGACTTGGGCCGTAGGCTAGCTGCAGCATTATGAGTGACCGGCTCCTCCTGTGCGCGCGAGCTGACGCCTTAAGAGGCGCCTCAAAAGCAGACACGTGATAACCATGGTGCATGCTTGAAGGGGAGGTTTGGAAGTCAGACGTGTGCGTGGGGTTGAGGGCCGGGGAAGCCCTTCTGCTGCTGCCGTGACTACTGATGCTCATGCTGTCGCTGCGCCCCACGCTGCTGATATCCCCGCTGCTACCCCCAGGCATGTACACGCTCCTGCAGTTGCTGCACACGCTGCCGCTGCAGGCACTGCTGCCTCGGGGAATATAGCCGTTCTTGCTGCTGCTGTAGGCGCTGCTGCTGCCGGGATAGACGGGAGTGGCGTGCACGGGGATACCATATGAATCTGGGTGTGGAGGTGGAGAGGCAGCATGTGTTGAGTGCTCAAACGAGGCAGCATAGGGCGGGGCGGCATAGGACGGGGCAGCAGTGGCAGCAGCGTATGGGCTCTGCTGTGGTGAGTCGTGCCGGGCTCGCTCGGTGTTGTCAGAAATGGTGCGTTTGAAGCGAGCCAACACGTCGGTGTCGCCGTTGGGAACGCCTGGGCCGCTCCTCGAATAAAGGGTGTCCTCATAGCAAGGCCGGGCTCGCTCGGTGTTGTTAGAGAGAGCATGCTTGAAGCGAGTCAACACATCTGTACTGCTGCTGTCGGTGTTGTCGGAAAGAGGCATGGTGCTGTCAGCGTAAATGTCACCATGGAGACCATTGGATGAGTACGGGAGGTCGAATAATGTCTCTCGGGCATCAGCAAGAGGACTGTCAAGGTCAAAAACAGATTCAGCACCATCATCGGCACCATCATCGGCACCATCATCGGCACCATCGTCGGCACCAGCATCGGCAGCAACAGCAGCAGCAGCAACAGAAGGCATGCTGCAGTTGCTCTCGCTCTGTCCCTGGCTCTGGCCCTGGCCTTTCCCTCGGCTCTTCCCAAACAGCTTTAGCACGGCTTTCAGCATCCTGTTCTTGCCGCCGCTCTTCTCACCGCCACCACCTGCTATCTGCTTGGGTGATGCGTTGCTGTTGTCAGCGCTGCCGCTGATAAGTGCTGCATTTGTTGCATCCCGTGGCGACTCGCAAAAGCCACTGTCTGCAGCCATTTCCTGCAGTCTTGGAGTTCTCAGCGTGCTGGTCTTGTTGGGCGTGTAGGGCGTCTTGGGGGTTTTGGGTGTTGTGGGCATTCTCGGTGTGCTGGAAGTGCTGGGTGTTTCGGATGAGCTAGGCGTGTTGACCGCGTTGACCCTGTTGACCACGTTGACCCTGTTGACCGCGTTGACCATGCTGACCGCATTGACCTTGTTGGGCGTCTTGGGCGTTTTGGGTGTTGTGGAAGTGCTGGATGTTTGGGATGTGTTGGCCGTGTTGACCGTGCTGACTGCATTGACCCTGTTGGGCGTCTTGGGAGTTCTCGGGGTTTTTGGCAGCCCGCCACGTCCCTTTGAAGGTTCAGCAGCATCAGCTCCTGCCTTTGGTGTCTTGGGCAGTCCAACACGCCCTTTCGGTGTGTCACGCAGAACATCCGCTCCTAGCCTCCCCAGTGGTGGCCCGACGCGTCCCTTTGAAAACCCAGGAGCATCAGCTCCTGGCCTCGATGTCTTGGGTAGCCCAACACGCCCTTTCGGTGTAGCAGGCAGCAAATTTGCGTCCAGCTTTTCAGATGGATGATTAGGCAGCATATCTGCACCAAGCCCGCCGACTTGCCACGCCTTTCCAGCTTCCCAGCCCTGGCAGGTGGTTTGTGGGACTCCCGTTCGGTGTGAGCAGAGATTGACCAGCGGAAGTCGTACCTCCCTCCTTTCTCGGGCATGGGAGAGGGTACGGGAGAGGGCAGCAAAGGGAGCGAGGGAGAGGCCATAGCAGGAGGAGGTTCCAAGGAAGAGTAAGCGGGATCAGGAGAAGAGGAGGAAATTGCTTGGGGAGGGGTTGAGGTTGAAGCGTCGGGGAGAGGAGGGGGGATGAGGACGTGAAGGGTAGTCGATCGAGTCATATGCTGGCTACTGCTGCTGCTGATGCCGACGCTGCTCCTGTTACTGCTGCTGATGCTGATGCTGCTGCTGTTGATGCTGACGCTGCTGCTGCTGCTGCTGCTGCTACTGCAGATAGCATTGGGATTCTCAAAACCACGGGCACCAATGTCGGTGTTGGTCTCACTGATACTGAGGCTGACGCTGCTGCGTGATCGGCCCAAACCTCGTCTCTGCACGGCTGCTTGGCTGACCTTGGGCACTTGATCCACCGCTTCAAACCCCTCTTGACCCACCACTTGATCACACTCATCAAGGTCGCAGAACACAGACCTTGAGGCCGCTTGTTTGTGCGAAGAGGAGGAGGAGGAGGAGGGCGAAAACGGCGAGAAGGCGCGTGGTTGGCGGCGAGGGGTGAGAGGCGGCAAGGGGGGAAGCGGCAAACGGGAAGGCTTGAGGGGTTGGCGCAGGAACGCAGAGGCGGAGCGGGTGAAGGGGGGAGGCGTGAGGGGTTGACGCAGATGGGAAGAGGAGGAGCGACGCATGGGGGAGGGAGAGTCAAGGAGCATTCCTGTGGGGATTTCGAGAGCACAGGACGAGGACGACCGCCAATGCCTGGTCAACCTCCTCCCCTCCTGCTGCAGCGTCGCCTGCTGTTGCTCCTGTTCCTCCTGCAGTTGCCGCTGCTGCTGCTGCTTCCCCTGCAGCTGCAGATGCTTCACCTGTTGTTGCTTCTCCTGCTGCTGCCACTGCTCCTGCCACCGCTCTTTCATACGTGCCAATCCTCCCTGCTTCTGCGCTTGCTGCTCCTGCTGTCGTTCCGCTTCACCATAATCTTGCCATCCTTCTTCATCTTCTCTCTCCCACCCACCACCCCCACCATCACTCTCACTTGCCTCATCCGCTTGCTCCTCAATCACAATTGAAATCTTCTTCTTTCGCATGCCACACCGGCCCGGCTCCGAGCCTGACCTTTCGAACCGGCGCTGCTTCCGAGACTGCTGGGCCACAGGCTCGGCAACAGCAGCACCATCAGCAACAGCGGCAGGTACGGAGGCAGGTTGGGAGAAGGGAACGCGGGCGAACTCGCAGATTGCGTTGGTGAGAGCAGCGGAGGCTGTTTGCTCTGCGAGCTGCCTCAGATCCTTCATAGGAAGGCCATCACAGGGAATAACAATGTTGCTGCTTCTGCTGCTGCTTCTGCGGTGGCGGCAGTGAGTCCAGGCGGCATGGGCGGCGCTGATGGCGGCGATGGTGCGATGCAAGGGCGCTGGCTTCTCACGACCCGCGATGGTGCTCGGCGGATCGACTGAGCGGAGGGGGGAAAGGGAAGGGAATATAAGGGTACGGGGCGGGGGACAGGGGGAAGGACAAAGGGGAACAGGAGCGATAAACGGTTGAGAGACAACGGAAGAAGGTTGAACAATGGGGATATTAGGGTAGGTGAGAAGGGAGAGAGGAGCCAGGGAGGAAGGCACGAGAGAGCATGCAAGGGGTATAACGGAGGTACATTGACGAGAAACCAAAGAAGCGAGTGAGGGGACGCGTGCGGTGAGGTGACACGTGCACTGCAGGCGTTCCTAAACACTTGCTCCACTTACACACGGTGTTGCACTTGTAGTATTTGAGCCACTCTACAATTTCGCGCAGCTTCGCCTCCAATCAAACAGGGTAACAAGTTCGCGAGTCCAGCAGCGCCGCAGCCATCGGATCTGATGAGTTGACGGCCACGATCTTCCAGGAAGATTTCAGGTCGGGGCTGACGACGAGGAACGCGAGCAGCGGCTTCACCAGATACAACTGCCCCGCTCGAGCCTCCATGCGCCCGATTTCGATCACCTCCAACGGCGCGTGCGTATCGCACACCCCGTCGCACATGGTCGCGGATGTTGCCGTGTCACATGCTGCTTTGTCGCATGCCTTATCGCACGATGTACAAGAATCGCCAGATCCAGACTGAAGAACCGCTTCGATGTTGTCGCCTTGGCAGCAGGAGCACGTTTGCGGGATGATCCCGAGGTTCCAATCGAGATTGTGACTGTAATGAGCTGGTAACCCGTCCACCTGGCGAACGCGCAGCGGATGACATGCCTCGTTACAAGCCGCCTCGATTTCCACCCATGAATTACGCGGTGTGCAGCAAACCATAGAAATGCTGTCGCCCGCAATAAGCCCATCCAGGCCCGGCGCCGCTTCAAGACCGAATCCACCGTCGCAGTGCGATAAAGCTGCGTCAGCAGGGCGAATCGGAACGTCATTCCACGTGGAGATCGGGTGCAGGATCGTGGTGTCCTCCTGACTTCGCCCAGACTGAATGATGGAATGCGGAGAAGGGGACGACGAAGAATTCCTTATCACGGCGTTGGACGTGGTACCGACGCCGGGTGCGCCGGAAGCGGGAGGGTTGGACAGGAGAAATCCCCGGTACAGCACGGATCCGGGGAGACCGAACTCGATATAGTCACAAACCTCCATGGGTACAAACGACTTTGCAAGGGAAATCGCGTGCTTTCGTGTTGGAGCACGCCGTAATACTGGAACTTGGAATTAACTTAGGGGAGAGCTATCATCGGCAGCCAGTTGAAGTGACTCAAAGAACTGGAAACGGCTACTATTGCTCCCTGTCTCCTGTGTGACCACCTCGAACACGTCTGCACGACTTGAGGATCACTCATTCGTGCAGTGGCGGTGGAAGAACTGATCGTCAAGTGGCCACCAGGACATAGATGTACACGTGTTAAGGAGATCCGTAAGAGAAAAACGTCTCGCTCCGGATTCGTCAAAAAGCCGCGCCGTGCCGTGAGCTGCAAGTTTGGGTCACCACCACCACACACCAATCTACTAGGTTGTCAGGCATCCGCGACAGTCGCTGCCAGCCAGGCGACCTCGAGTGTCCGCCATCGGCGAGCGACATTGTCGCTTTGGTCGGGGTGGTGTACTGTACTCTCGCTCGATTTCCCTCTCCCCTCCCTTTCTCACTGAACCGAGACCGACAGTTGCTGAACGACCATCGCGAATATCTACGACAGTGCATGACGTGACGTTACGAGGCACCGCCGTATCTATGCGATTTTTTTGTCGCGGTCTGTTTCTAGAGTCCATTGCATCTGTACTTGCGACGTTCGAGGGCGAGTGATCAGCGTAGCAATGATTTGGCCCCATTTGTGAAAAAGACGGCAGGACTGATCTTGTCCTCGCGCTGTCAAGTCGCACGACATTGGTGGACATAAACGGTTGTACTGTAAATGGAAGGCACGGGTCCTTCGAAGTCGAAAGTACTGTACAGTACATCCGGTCAAGTCCCATTGACTTGAGAAACATGTTCCTAAACACGCCTGAAGTCGCGACTTTTGTACAGATGTTCTCGATTAGAGTCCCCGTAAAAAACACGCGCGCTGCGGGCCTTCGTGGATACCTCACAAACCCCGGTCAAAAGGGAACTTATAGTCCCATATAAGGAAAGTTGCATGAAAGGTGATTTGTCTTCGCTAATAGTCGTGTTTTCCTGTCACATACGTACATTTGGACTACGCTGTCTTCAAATTCTCGTCGCACGATTTGCCGCGTTGATCAGTGTCGCAGGACAAACGGGCAGAAAAATACAAAATAAAATCACGTTTAAGGCCAAAATGAAAGCCAAAATTTTCTGTTTTACACTGTAAGCGAGATTAGAAAGATGGTATCGTCGGAGCTCGCGGGGAAAACCGCGACAGGATTTAGACACAAGCGCGATCAAGATAAACAGACAATCATAACTGCAAAATTAAATAGTGAATCAAAACTTCCTCTCATTTTATTTTCTGTAAATTTTCTGACTGGTTCGATTTGCGTTCTCTGATTGGCTGCGGAACTGATTCCTGCGATGATTCAGTCAAGATGCAAGATTTCCCGCCAAAAACGGGACTGTAGAGGATGGGATACACCTAGGACTTATGTGAAAATTCTACTCGTTGGGGAAATGGGGCTCTTTTAGGAAGGGCCTCTAAGCCAGAACATCTGTATGTAGTGCGAAAGCTTTAGGACAGAAGGAAAGACGGCTGCGTTGGAAGGAATTTGCCTTGCCACAAACAAGCAGAGAAGTTGCATCTGCTACAAGCAGAGGAGAATGATGGCCCTGTTCGGCTGCAAAATTGCACGTTTTTTCCCATCTAGGTTCGGTGTTGTGCGGGAGGTCTGGTTCCGAACGTTGGGAAGTTCGGAAACCAAAGGCAGCTTGTCGTCCTGACACCGAGGCAACACGTCAGCAAAATCTAAGGTGTATCTATAGTGTCTGCGCAAAGGACAGAGAAATTAGACCAGGCCACCGGACCTCAACGGCTAACATGAACGACCCAAAAATCCCTCCACACATCCAACTCACTCAGGTTTATGGCCCTGGGTCACCCCTCGGTCAGGCCTCCCGCGGACGGAAAATCTGAAAAAAAAAAAAAAGTTGCTCCCGAAACCCTAATTTCATAGCACAAGCTCACACACTCCACTCGCAACAGACCACAACTCGAGTTAGCACTATGGGCAGCCGCTTACCATACGATCCACGGGCTGTCGAGGACGTTGCACTGGGCTGCTGTTCGTGTGTTCGCGGGGCCTTTTGCTGGCGATGCACATGTTTAAAAATACCCCCAATCTGGGCAGGAGGGCACTTGGGGGACGCAGGGCTTACCCCCCACGCTGCCCGAAATGGAAGTCTCAATTAGGCGGAAGATGGGTACTCACGTTGAAAAGATGAGCAGCCATCTTCTGGCCTTCCCTTCTTGTGATTGGTCGTTGTCTGACTTCTGGGCCCACGTCAGGCCTGGGGTTGGGCGAGGGGTTCGGAGTTGTGTGGGGTGGGTAGCTCGGAATGAAATCTTGTCGCACGAGGGTCGCATGCGATTTTGGTGGTGCCGAACCACTCTCAACGGCCAACATGAACAATTTTCAGGCTCCCAACGGCCAAGATGACCTGTTTTTAGTGCTCCCGAAGTGCTGCCGAACAGGGCCGATATGCGCGTGAACATCTCTGAGCAGACGCAAGAAATCTTCAATGGCAAGAAATCTCAGCAGAGCACAAGCAGTTTTGGCAGATCAATAAAGTTGTATGGTGCTGATTCAACCATTCTGATCCAGAGAATCAACCATCAATGGTTTCAGCCCACAATCTGGTCTAGAGTCCACCACACACACCAGACATCCCTAGGTTGTACATGGCTGAAAAGGCCAATGGTGTGACTCGTGAGTGGCCTGATTGTCCTCACATTACTGGCTGTCTACACATGGCTAGTGATGATTGACTGGTGGTGATCCGAATCTATCCCGAATCGACCCAGCCGCTCCACGTGGAGTCACCCGAGTGGGGGAAGGTGCTGCTGACCGTAGGCGACATGTTTTTGTCGTCGGGAGTCGAGTGGAGCGGTTGTCGCTGGGGAAGAAGGCTGTTCGGCATTCCTGTACTACACGAGCCTCTGCCCATGCCAAGCCGTTGGGGGGGGCTTGCGCTTGACCAATTGCTTGGTTTTCATGGGTACATATCAATCGCTTTTGATCGTTCAGCAAATAATGTACCGTAGCAGATATAACCAAGCACTCATCCAACCGTTGAACGAACTACAGCAGCCACACTCCAAGCACATCGTTTGCCCGTGTTGCGAGTCCGAGCAACACAGCACAAAACAGGACCTGTCCGCGTTGGGTGCGGATCCCCTTGATATTGAAGGTTTGAAGCTCGACATTATGAACTGATATTCCGTTATAAGTGTCCAATTCTATAGTCTTGTGCACATGCTGAACACAGGTCAATTATACAATCCCATACAAAGTACAGCAGCTAGCTACAATATAAAGATGTGTGAATACATCAAAATCCGACTTTCTATCCGTTCTCCAAAGGCTCCTCAGGGGCAGGCCAAGTACCATTACCGCACCGCCTATGAAAAACACACACCTCTTTATCATCCCCCAACAACGGAGACTGCACAAACCCTTGGTGGCAGAAACCGGCGAGCAACAATTTCATGCCATACCGACACAATCCTTCCTTCACCCTCTCCCTTAATCCCTCTGCTGCTTCAACCACACCACCCCTCGCCTTCCCAGCAATTTCTCGTGCCAGCTTTAACGCATGACCGATTTCCTTCAAGTCTAATTGGGAAAGCTCGACCGGACGCTCGTGAATGCGATAATTCTTACAACTCGCGTTCCGGTCGCAATCCCGGGCAGTCAAAAGTTTGAATTCTTCGTCCCGGGGGAGCGTTCGGGCGGCATGGCATTGATGCTGAAAGTATGTCGCTCCACTCGCCACGGACATGATCTGATAAAGAGTAGGCTGCGTGCCAAATGGAACAATCTCTAACACCACTGCGCCTGGCAGAGGCTTTGGTGGTAGGGATTGTGAGAGCGGGATGTCTGAGGTCCGAGGCAGGCTGGAATCAGTCATGCTTGTGCTGCTGCTGGTAACGGCGGTGGTGGCGGCGCTGCTGCTGCTGCTGCTGCTGCCTGTTCCGTTTCCCAGCAGCACAACAGGGGCCACACCCCTCAGGAACGCACAGGTGGGAGCCAGGGCCGCCCCATGCACGGCCACAATGACATCGGCACTCCGCACTGCCGCATACTGCTCCTTAAAGCCCAGCCGCCCGAGATCTGCCGCCTGCACGTCGAAATTCAGGCGGGAAAAGAGATTCACCAGCGCCACATGGGACGTGTGGTCCAAGGCTCGCCGCCCCTGATTGGCTGTGGCAGTTCGCTGGAGATACAGCAAACGGATCTTCTCATTCCCTAATTGGCCGGCTTGCTCCAGTCCTAGGTGCGCTTCTCTACCCAACCTCCCCCGCTCCCACGCACTCCATCCCCCCTTCCCGAACCTCCCCACCTGCACTTCTCCCTTTCCCTCCTCCCCCTGCACTCCCTTCGCCTGCTCTCCCTTCCCTACCCCTCTCCCTCCCTCCTCTCCCGCCTCCCCTCCCACCTTCCCTCCCACATCCCCTTTCGCCAACCACCGATCAATCCGATCCAGAAACGCCGCCTGCACCTCCTGCCCTCCTGGATACAGAATAGCGGCGAGATTTCCCGGCAGGACAACGTTTTCGAAGCAGAGAGGCTGGGCCTCGGTTGCCTTGTCCCACACGTGCTCAAACTCCACCCTGCCGCCTGCCAGGCTGGTCGTGTTGATGTCCAGCAGCAAGCTCCGGTTTAGCAGTGTCTCGATTAGTTCTCTCTCCCAATCACCCCGTTCCCTTGCCTCTCCCATTCCGCCTCCTCCTCCCGCTCCCTCTCTCTCACCTCCCCGTCCCTCCTCCCCTCCCGTCGCCACACCAGACCCCTCCAATCCTGCCCCCACTGCTCCACCCACACCAGATCCCGCTGCCGAGGCAGAACCCGGGCCAGCACCCGGACTCTCCGAGCCTGACCCACAGGTTCGGGCATCCCCCGTCAGGTCCGGGAGGAGGGCGGCAGCGAGCAGGTGCTGCAGCAGGGAGGCATGGAGGCCTTCCGGACCAAAGGATTGGACGATTCGGAGGAAGTAGAAGTGGCGGGGGAGGAGAAAACGGTCAACGTGAGGGAGGAACGGAAGAGGGGAGGTGGAGTTCTGGAGGGGGGAGAAGGAGGAGGAAGAGGAGGTTTTTGCGGGGAGAGGAGTGGGTGCCTCCACTTTGAGGGCATTATGAGGGGATGGGGTTGTGATTGAAGGGCCTGTTTGTGTTTCCTTCATCACTTCCACAAGCTTTCGCTTCTCCGTCGCTTGAGCGTTGCTCTGAATGCTGCTGTCCATGCTGCTGTTAGCGGGACCGAGAACACTGCTGGTGGGTCCAGTGCTGTTGCTGCTTCTGCTTGTCGTGCTGAAACCACCACTGCTCATTTCATGCTTTAAACAACCTAAGCCCGCCGAACCTTCTCCATTCCCCGACTCTCCACCCCAACTCTTCCCCTCCCCATTTCTCTTCCCAGCTCCATTTACCAGCAATATTTGAAGCACTTTTCCAAGAAAATGCGCCACGTTATTGGATGAACCATCAAGCAGCTGCAGATACGTCGAACCTGGACGCCACCAGGCCCTGCCAATCCGCTCCTGAAGCCACTCCAGAGGCCGCTCCCCCCACAGCTTGTAATGCGACTGCTTCACTATCATATCAAACGGATCATCGTTAAAGGGGTATATACCACAAGGCAGTGCGGTCAAAGGGCCATCGGTCAAAGTTTCGTTCCTGGCGGCTGCTGAGTTGGCGGGCTGCGATTGGTCGCAGAACCAATCCGTGACAAACTCACGCTTCAGTCTGCGCCTAGTGTTGCCACCAGTAACATCAACATCAACTGGTAAGGTCTCATTCTTACTATATCCACTGCTGTTAGTGCCATTGGTACCGTTGCTATTGCCTAACAAAGATCCCGAGGTGCCAGTGATAGAGTCACCAGCAGCAGCAGGAGGGGGAGGAGAAGAGAGAGAGAGAGGAGAAGATGGGGTTTGAGCTGGTGGGGTGGGAGGGGGCCTGATAACGACCAGCTGGGTGCCGTTCCAGCAGAGCAGGCGACACACGCAGAGCACCTGCAGAGAAGTTTGGACACGCAGAGGAAGAAAAGAAGATAAACAAGATGCATATGGCAATCCAAGGATCACCGCAGACGAGCCTGCGGATGTGAGCAAACGCACTTGCTTGTCCGCACGCAGGTGCCAGATTGACGCAACCCTAGGAGGTTTGTACGCTACGCAGATGCGCCAGCATGTCAGCACACGCACCTGCACATATGAGCACACGCACACGCACGCGCGCATGAACGCACGCAGGCCAGCAAACGCACCTGCATGCAGCAGAAGTGGTTGGCCACGCGGTAGCAGCGGCAGCTTGTGCCTTGGCCCAGCACTCCCGAGCTGCTCCCACCACCACTGCTGCTGCTGCCGCTGTTGCTGCTGCTGCTGCTAGCGCTGGAGCTGCTGCTGGGGCTGGTTAATAAGTCACTCGGTTTCAACTTTCTTCTCGTGAACTGATCCTCCATAAGCGGCAGCGGAGGCGGCTTGCTCAAAAGCGACAGCTTTCGCCGTCCACGCAGCTGCTCCGATTCCAGGAAACTTCGTTTGCGGGCTTCTGAATTCGGAATGAATCCCTCCAGGAGGTCCGAATTCCGTGGTTTCTGTGCATGGACGGAGGGATTCATTCCGAATTCTGGGTTTTTTCGCCAATCTTCGACCCCCGAGTTCCGTGGTTTCTGTGAAAAAACTGGCGACGCATTGGAATTCAGCTGTCGAAGATTGGCCCATTGTGAAAGGAAGCTGGGCGGGGCTAGGGCTTGGATCAGCTGGGAGGAAAAAAGCAACAGAAGGATTCCTGTGCGACAGGCTCGGAGAGACAAACTGTCGAACCTAGAAGATGAATAGCAGCGGAACGGATGACGGAACGTTAGAGCGAGCATGGCAAGCGCGGAAAGAGCAGATTTTAGTGCTGTGGTTTATGAGACTCCTGATTACCACATCACTGATTATGACTGGAGTTCATTTGAGCGAGCAACTCGCTTGACGTCATCCCAGTATTCAACATGGTGTTCTATTGATCTGAAGTGCATGGTATATATTGATGTCTAACTAATGCCCCATTGATTTGCACCGTGTGTGCACTCAACTTATAGATGCTCTGAGTTTGGGCTTATTTTGAGATATAATATATCTATGCATATCCTGAGGTGTACACTGTCGTTTAAGTTTCCTAGATACTTTTGTATTGTAAGTAATTTCTCTTTATAAAAGTAGTTTATTTTTCAGTATAAATCTTAAAAAGCATTGATTTTATTTAGAAATTGGAGATTATAAAAACTCATCAGCTGATAAGCTGTGGTATAGCCACTGTTTACGAAAGGTTATCATAATCATAATTCTAACCTTACCACTTGTGAGGTAATCGCTGTACCGATTAACGATTGCATCTTTTGATGCGTATCCGCACTTTCCGATATTATCCACACGCTTCGCGAACCAGGAGCTTTGGGAGTGCAAGGGATCAGGTTCATGCGGCGCAATGACGTGCTTGGCGGAACTTCTGCTTCAGCGGAGACATTGGCGGGGTGGGAGCCAGGTGGAAGAGGGAACCCTGAGGCGGTTCCAGTGAGAAGGTGATTCTTGGTTGTGACTGGTCTGGTGAGGTGAGGTTGTGACTATCCAGCCGTCCGCTTTCCTCAGTGGCCGTTTGTTTCACAGGACAAAAAAAAACGAGACGCTGTCCCGTTTCCGTTCCCCTCAACGGTCTGCCCCCCTGAAGAAGGATGGCTGCTGTTCCTGGGACGATTTGGCCCTCACAGCATCTGAATGCTTCCAGGAGTTCGGAGAAGTGTCAATCCTGGTGACTCCGAACTGAAAGGGTTCCTTCGCTCTGTCCCCCTTCTTTCCGCCTCTGTGCGCCTACCTCCGCATTTGCTCAGCTTTCCTCCGCCAATCTCAGCCCCTTACGGCGAGAAGCATCATTGGTGACTCCGAAAGGTCCCTCCCTCTCGTTCCCACCAGTCCATCTCATCAATTGTTTCCTCTACTCCCCCGCTTCTTCCCCCACCAGTCAATTGGGGGCACTTGTATCTTTTGACCAGGAAGCAGTCACAAAGTCTCGAGAACGGTGTGAACGAAATCGACAGTCGCCGAATTGCTGTTGGACGACAGACAGACACCCCTGAACAAAACCCCAACCTTTTTTCCCCCTCCCTTTTTTACAGACATGTGCCACTCACGGTGGAGCACGAATTGGAACTCCCGTGATGTGAGAGACACGAATGCAGAGAGGATGGGGTCAGCCCACCTGTCAGTGCTGCTGGCCAAGTCACAGCCGCCGAGGGTTAGGCATCCGCTGGGGGTCTGGTTTCCGGATTTCCGCGCTCGCGCGGCATATCTGGCACCAACCCGACCCTCATTACACCTCACCAGACCACCAGCTTCCTCCTTCGTTAGGGGACCATCAAAATCTGCTGAAACCCTCACCATGATGGGGTCCCGAGCTCCAGAGGTTTCATTGGTTCTACTGGTTCCATCGCGTTTGCACTGTGATATCTTTCAGATAGTTGAGCATTCCGTGTTAATTTCATCCAGAAGCTCCTTAGTCCGATCGTCTTTGTTTGGTCACTTCACTAGCCAACCAGGAGAACGAGTTCCCAGTAATTCTTCAGTATGGTTTCTGACGCCGAAATCGTTCGTAGACTACGTGAGATCTTGAACGAGGCGGACCTTGACGTTACTACAGAAAAGAGCATACGCATGCAATTAGAAGAAGAGTATAACATCGACTTATCGGAACGGAAAAAGTTCATTCGACAGGAAGTTCAAACATATTTGAACGAGAGACCTGCATATGAAGAGGACGCTGGTCATGAAGAGGAGCCGCCGCACCATGAAGAACCTCAGAAGCCTTCTAGAAAGCGGAAGGCTGCGAAGGTCACAAAGGATGGGTACGTGGAACTTCTTTCAGTGTTCCGCGTTGATTGGCCTGGTTCAACATCTGAACTTGCTCGTGATTGTTGCAGAAAGGAGCCGAAGAAGCGCACTGGTGGTGGTTTGATGAAAGTATGCGGCCTTTCCGATGAGTTGGCGGCACTTTTAGGAGCTAAAGAAATGCCAAGAACAGACGTAAGATGGAAGTATGCAGTCTTTTTTTTATTGTTTTGTCATCGAAAGAGCTAATATAGCGTTCTTCCATGTGGCAGGTGGTCAAGGGTATCTGGAATTACATCAGAGCACACGATCTTCAAGATCCGTCAAATAAAAGAGTCATCCGGTGCGATGGTCCTTTAGGCCATTTGTTGGGAACAGAGGTCACTGATATGTTTCAGTTGAACAAGTTGCTGACAAGTCACATAAAGTCGCTTCCTGGTCCAAATGGTAAGACTTCAGTAAACCTCCCAGTGCTCTATCTCATAAGTCTCTGTTCGTCTTTCAGTAACCCAGCACGGTAACTGAACCTTAATGGAGCACTTGTGCAGGAGAAATGCCTCAACCAAAGAAGCCCAAAGCTGAACCAGGTGCAGGGGGGTCCAGGGGAGCTTTCGCGCAGCCACTTCCCATGTCACCGCAGTTGATTAAATTTCTGAATTGTGAAGAGACAGAGCTGCCAAGATCGGAGGTTGTCAAACGGGTCTGGGCGTATATAAAGGAGCACGACCTTCAGGTAAGTTAACCATTCCAGAGAGGCATGCAATGTCTGGTTATCGTCTCCGAGTGAACTAACGTTATTCCAATGTGTTGCAGGATCCGTCAAACAAGAGAAATATTCTGTGTGATGAGCCAATGAAAGAGATGTTTGGAGTGGACAACTTCGTTGGTTTCTTGATGACAAAGCTCTTGTCTCCTCACTTCATCAAGACAACTCCTGGATCCCAGAACCCACTTGCAGTGCACTCTCCTGAAGATTCTGGTGATAGAGGAGATGCTTACTGATTCAAATTCTGTTCATGATTATGCACACAGTTCATGATTATCCAAGTAGCAGAGCAGACCGACTGCAGTAAGCTGAAAGCAAATGTTTTGGGCTACAATACTGACTGAGGTGATGTTCTAGAAGAATGATAAGCACTGTAACATCTTCAGAATGACACTTGCAGTGTAGATGACTGGTGGATTTTTAAATGTATGCCGGGACACATTCTTTCCCTGTGACAGGCTGGAATGGAAACAGAATTGAAACAATATGTGAGAACATACAGGAGTACGAATATAAGGGTGCATTCCGCTGTGGACACATGTCCCAATCGATGTGTCCCAGTCGAATGTACCGCTCCGAACCGAACTAAACAAGAGACGCGAAATTTTCGAAACTAGGGTGCAATTTGGTGTACTACGATGTAGTGCGGTAGAAACGATTGGGACACATCGATTGGGACACATCGATTGGGACATGTGTCCACAGCGGAATACACCCTAAGTAGAAAGTTTAGCTAGCCATGTACTCTGAGGGGTACGTTCCCGAATTATATTGCTACATTACCGTATCCCCCCAGATATAAGCTCAGGCCTATTCAAAGCGCATGTGCTTCTATCTGGAGCAATGTGCTTATGGCCGATCCTCAATTATAAGCGCACCTCCTTAAAAAAATTGATTTATTATAAGCGCATGTTAGTTTAAATACGGTAAAAAAAGACTGTCGAATTACTGTAACAAAGCTCGCTTTAGCAAGCTGATGACTTGAAAAGTCAAATTTCCTTCGCATTCAAACCATGAAGGCTGCGCGTCCAGTTAGCATCAGGGCCCAAAATTCAAGGGTGTTTTACCCTTTCTACCCTTGCTATGGGCCGCTTTTCCAGGATTGCCCTGATTTAGTACGTGTATTTGCCAACCGAACCTAACTGTAAAAATGTAGTTTTTGAAATACACTTTCAAAATCAGGCCTCCCCGAGTTTTCCCCTGACGAGTCAGAGTACTTTTTGAAATGCACTGAAACAGACTTCCTTCGTGTCGTTTCTGTGCAACAGGGCCCGTGTGGCCACTCGACCGAGATTGGTTACAAAACTGGCCCTAGCAGTCACTTTCGCACTGTCAGCTCTACAAAACACACCACACCACAAGTATGAGGTAGTGGCATTTGGATTTTGCTCTTGCATTCAGGGTGGTTCCATAAATACCCTTACAAAGACATAATACTGGCCAAAACACACTGATTAGCATTGGGCATTTTTTTTTTCACCCTGACTGTCAGGCGAAGGGGCCAGGGGGGCCTTGATATGGTAGGGTGCCCCGAAACCAATTTTTGGCCCTGGTTAGCATGTGCTGTTAGAAGTGCCTAGTGATTCATTTTGAGTGTATGTTCTGTTGGGCTGAGAGGTAGTCCTTAGGATCTTTTGTGTCAGAATGTTATAATTGTCTAGCCTGCAGTGGGGTACTCTATGGCGAGTACAACCCAATTAAGGTTTCCTATATGTATCTCAGCTGCTGCTAGTGCAAACCATCTTTTTCTCATTCTGTTCCTGCCTGCTAATTCTGACATGCTATCAGAGCAGGTCGACCCTCCTGGGTCGATCCAGTGGGTGGGCCCCACCCGATGCTTCCGCTGCTCTACTGCTGTCGCGCGCCCCGGGCGCGCGACACTTTCTTCCTGCCGCGCACTCGGAGCGCGCGGCGTTTTTCATCCCGCCGTGCACTCGGGGCGTGCGGCGGTCGCGGTTTTCTGCCCGTCGTGGCGCCCCCGGGGACCTGCACGCTGCCCCCCCGTCGCCCGTCGCGGCGCCTTGGGGGCCCGCGCGTTGCCCTTCTCCCGTCGCCTCGTCGCGGCGCCCTAGGGGCCCGCGCGCCGGCCCCTCCCGTCGCCTCGTCGCGGCGCCTTGGGGGCCCGCGCGTCGCCCCCTTGCGTCGCCTCGTCGCGGCGCCTTGGGGGCCTGCGCACCGCCCCCTCTTGTTGCCTCGTGGCGGCACCTTGGGGGCCCGCACGCGGCCCCTTCCGTCACCCGTCGAGCCTGTCAACGGGAGTTGTGTGTTGGCCCCGTCCTCGCTTGGGCGGAGCCGACTTCGTGGTCGGGTGTGAGGGGAGTAGCTGACCTGCAGCAGTGGGCGAGCTGGTTGACGAGGAGGTCAACTTGCACGGAGACCACTGTACGGGCGCCGACTTCAGGGAGGTCGACTTGGGAAGTCGACCTGCGGAGGAATTCAACTTGGTGACGTCAACTTCGGGAAGCCAACTTCGGTGGTCTGCTGACAGACTGCTGGTCGTCCTGGTGGTTGGTCGACCAGGCCTGCTCGTCGACCTGACCTGGTGGTCGACGAAGGAGGGGCCGATGTCGACCTCGACTCAGGACGCCGAGCAGTTGGGCGTCGAGTAGCTGGGCGCCAACTTCGTGACGCCGACTTCGGGTAGCCGACTTGGGTGGTCGGCCGACAACTGCGCTGGTCGATATGAAGCTGGTCAACTAGGACTGCTGGTCGACGTGGAGCTGGTCGACCAGAAGTGACGTCGACCTGGAGCTAGTCGACCAGGGGCGTGGTCGACCTGGTGAGGCTGACTTGGAGGTGGCTGTTGACTTGGGAGGTCGACGGGCACGTACGGGAGCAGCTGGTCGACGTGGTTGCCCGGTCGACCAGGTTACCTGGGTGACGAGGTTCTGCGGAGGGGTGCGACGGTCGCCCGGGCGAAGTTGGCGAGCCCGACCTCGGTGGTGGTATCCCGAGGTCGACGTGGCCTATCAGTGCCAGGTTGACTTGGTGTGTGCGTTGTGCAGGTGACGAGGCTCAGCCCGCCAATCATCTGCGAGCACCTGCGAAGCGGGTGCGCTACTGTTCTGCGTGAGTAGCGCTGGCACGCCGTCAACCTACGACGTTGGCACGCCGTCGACTTTGCACTGCTGGAGCGCGGTCGACCAAGTCGTGCTAGAACGCAGTCGACCATGCTGCACTGGTAGTCGACCGACCTGAATGCTTGCTCTGATGTAGTGTTGCCATGCCAACTTCATTGTACCATTGTTGTCAAATTTCTCTAGTGAAACTCTTGCCAATTCTCCCCGTGAACTAGCAAGCTGTGTGTGCACTAGGAAAACGACTAAGGACCAGCGAACGTAGAGATCACACGAGCACCCGTGCCTAGCCTGCAGTCTAGCTCCCGCTGTAGTAGTTATCTCCGCATGGTGTGGTGAGCGTGGACGGCACACGACTTACCTTTCAGTCAGGTCAACGTAGAGGTCACATACCTAAGTTGCTCGTAGGCCGGCAGCCGTATAGTCCCTAGCGTGCGCGTAGGTGACACAGAGGTGATGGACACCCTGGAGGGACGGCTGGAAGATGCGAGGAGATGCCATGAGGCCCAGGAGTACGGGGCGATACCCTGGGCGGTCGTCGAGGCTGGACTCCGCTCCATGTGGGCGACGGAGCATCCCCCTTCCCAACCAGCTTCCCCTCGACCGGTGACCAACGAAGGCGGCGTCGACGTGGGCGTCAACACTGGAGGTGGCCAAGTCGGCAGCAGTGCGGGAGGCACGTCGAGGCAGCGTGGTGTGATTCACACCGATGAAGTCGGCGGCGTTCAGGCGCAAGGACTGCAGTCGTCGGCGGCTGCAGGCTCCTCGCAGGGTGACGTCGGAGGTTGATGAAGCGGTTTGTCGCCGATGTCGGCGACCCAGGTGGCAGCGGGCGGGATTGCACCGAGCTACGGCTACTTTAAATTTACGCTGGACAGAATCTTGGTCACCCCGCCGCTCGTTGGCCGACCACACATTCTCACCTGGAAGGAGGCCATCGAGCCTTAGTTGGAGATGGCCGGATTGATCGGCTTCGCCCGAGGGACCGTGGCGACGCCGGGGGAGCACCACCCCGACCTGCGTGCAGAGTTTCGCGCTGTGGAGCTGTTGACATTCATGGTCATCTTGCGGTGCTGCTCGCCGGGCGTGCAGATCGCCTTGAAGTGGTGTCGGGAGTACCTCGACGCTGGCCACCAGGCGTGGCACTTCATCGAGTTGACCTACCAAAGTCACCGACGACTTGTTCATCGCCCAGCTGGAGGGGCAGCTGACGCACCTGCGTATGGGCGACGAGGAGACGGCGACCGACTACTGCAACCGGGCCTGGCGAATTTTCGCCACCATCCAAATGGCCGGCGTGCAGTACTCGACGGCATCGTACGTCACCTATGTCATGCAGGGCCTCTCGAGCAGCTACAACCTCCTGAAGCGGCTGTCAATGGTGCCGAGCATGAGGGCGACGCTCAACGAGGACAACTTGACCTCGTACATCCTGCAGGACGAGGCGATGCAGGAGGCTGAGCGGTCACAGGAGCTCTTGGCGTAGGCAAACTTTGTCGCCCCGGCAAAGCAAGGTGGCCGATCGGGGCAACGCGGATAGTCTGACAGCGGTGGTAGCAGTGGCTAGAAGCCGGCCAAGGAGGTCGACAAGAAGAAGTCGACCAAGGACAGCGGTCGAGGAGGAGGAGGTCGACGTCGGGAGTGCTGGTTGTGCGGCGACCCCGACCACCTCTCCTTCGAGTGCCCCGACCGCAGTGACTCTGACGATGACGACGCCAAGGGAGGCCGCAGGAGGTCTGGCAGCCGTCGTCCTCTTCGAGGAGGAAACAAGCTCCACAAGGAGAAGCTGTCAACGACGTCGACCTCGGCGAAGGACGCCGACTCCTCTGCTGGCGGCAAGGCGCGGGACGACAAGACGGTGTCGTGCTCGCTGGTCGGCGTCGTGGAGCCGACCGTCTCGCTGGCGCCGGAGACTGGAGAGGACTTCTAGGCGGTGGCAGCAGCTGTGCAGGCGAACCCGGTGGTGGTTCTGCTCGACAGCGGTTGCTCTCACCACCTGATGGGGACGAAGGAAGTCTTCATCGACCTGCAGCCGAGCGGCTCCATCAAGCACGTGCGAGACTTCAATGGGGCGCTCCAAGACGTCCAGGGTCGTGGCACCGTCGCCCTGCAAGGAGAGCCCGGGAGGCAGGTGCTTATCCCCGACGTGTTGTACGCCC